TGATTACAAGTAATTGACTACTGTAGTTTTGCTGGTCCCACATGAGATCGATACTATATCTTAATTACAAGTAATTGATTGCAGTAATTTTTCTGTTCCACATGATATCGATACTATATCTTTATTACAAGTAATTGATTGCTGTAATTTTGCTGTTCCACATGAGATTGATACTATATCTTTATTACAAGTAATTGATCGCAGTAATTTTACTGTCCCACATGATATCGATACTATATTTTTATTACAAGTAATTGATTGCTGTAATTTTGGTGCTCCACGTGAGCCCCTCTCTCCTTTGCAAAATCGCTAACCTCTAATCTCCGAAAAATATTGAGTTTTCCATAGAATAGTCAGAGAAATTTAAAAGTTCATAGTTCCTTCAAATTTTGAAAGTTTTCATAAACCGAATAATTTTTTATGCATATTTTATGTCATAGTTTTAGAGTCCTTTTTCTTATTGTTTTTTTTTTTATCTCATATAATTTCTCTGCTCTACATCAAAAATAAAAAAAACTATGTTTTTGGACTCAATTCTTTACGTCAAAATGTCTCGCTAAACACACTTTGATAGAAACAGGTGGAAAGAACTTCTGTGACTCTGTGAATTGTATTTATGCGTCTATCTAATGCTGTTTAAGGATTATAAAAGATGTAGGATTATAAAAATGTTGTTCAAAGATTATGAAAATATTGACAAATATATTGAATTCCAGATTAAGTTTTAATAACACGCGCTTCATACGTATGAAAAGGAAATGTTTTTATATTATTATAATAAAACTTCATTTTTACATAGCATGTGTTAAATGACATGTTCTTTTGCAAGCCATTATGTTAATATTGCTCACAAATGGCTGCCGTTTCTTTTGCTTTCCAGTTAAATTCTTAACAACATCTATTCTTGGATGATGTTGACATTTAGGTAGAGTCACAGAAGTTTCTTCCACCTGTTTCTATCAAAGTGTGTTTAGCGAGACATTTTGACATAAAGAATTCAGTCCAAAAACATGGTTTTTTTTTTATTTTTGATGTAGAGCAGAGAAATTATGGGATGAAAAAAAAGCAAGAAAAAAAAGGACTCTGAAACTATGATATAAAATAGGCATAAAAAAAAGTGTATTTATACATAGGAAGTACGTTTTGGGTCTAATTTTGTACACAAAATCAGAATTCAAAAATTTGTTGAAATTGGACTTTTGGCTCAGTTTAGGTCTTTAATAAATGTTCTAATCAAGTTGTTCTTTAAAATTCATCTCTAGCGTATTCCCCAAATACCATGCCTATTCTGCAATTTATTGAACAGTTCAGCAATTCTTTTAACAGTCTGAGTGTGGTATGGGAATTTTAAGAATTTAAACTTAGGCGATTGTTTTGTTTCTAAAAATTATGAGCTATCCTTGTTTGTTAAATTTTTCATGGATGGAGATGGCAAAAGTGAACTCGTTGAGCAGTATAGCGACTCATCATAGTTTCGAGCTCTAAAATTTATATTGGAAGAAGAAATTCTTTTTACACACAGTCGCGTCTCCTCATCATTAGTCTTTTGCCTTAAATAATTTTCTGCAGGCCATGCACTATATGTACTGCAGGCCATATGCCTTATACGTACTGTCATGGTCAATAATAGAGTTCACGTGGTTTGCAAAGTAGGCAATTCTTTAAATCATGGGTTGCGTGATTTTTATGAGATCACCAGATAAATTTTTTAGTCTGTATAATTTTCAATGTAAGTAAAGGTCCACGCTTCACAAAATGTTTGTTTTTTTTATACCGAATTATGCTGAAGCAGGCGTTTTTAAGATGTAACAATCATTACCACATGATTAGTATCATTACCGCATTAATATGTCCAATTGAGGGAATTTACGATCACATAAATTTCACTCGTAATAGAAAAAATTTCTTAAATCAGATAAACATTTGTAAAAAAAATTAATCTCTTTTTTGCTTTTACCTTTGATGAATTTGAATCAATAATGATTGATGAAAATTTTCTCTGTTGGTCTGAAATATTGAGAGGGACTTGTAGACCCACCGCGTCTCCCAAAGTCACCCGTGATTTTGAGATTTGCTTATTGTTATTTACAAAGGGCCGAAGAGGTAGGAGCAATATTTACATACGACACTAAAATCCTCTAATTTTGATTTTTTTTTAAATGTAAAAAGTGTATTATACTTAACTTAAAAAGTTTCATATTTTTAATTAATGTTAATAAACTTGAGTGAGAAAAAAGTTGAAATAAAATTTTCCTTGACACGTCTTAAAGATCAATACTTTTGATTACCGACGGAAAGCATCAATGAATTCCTGAAGAATATTCTATATATAAAAAAATTATAAATAAATTAAAACGTATTTTTAATAGTTTCATTCAAAATTTGCATTGATTGTTTAAACTTATTTCTAAAATTAAAGATTTTCAGTAATAGCTCTAAAAAACAAGGAGAGGGTGTTGTCTATTTCTTACATATGCATCTTTTCATTTCATTTAATAACCAGCGTTGAGCAGCCTCCCAAATTCTGAATTTACCTCTATCAATGTTCAACGCCGTATCCTTGTAGTTTCGAACCCCTTCCATAAGGCAAGGGAACTCCTGTATCAAGCATTAGGATAAGCTAGCTTTAGTGGTGAATACATTTTCTTCAAAAATGCATTCAAAATAAAATTCTGGCGTAATAGCGGAAGTCTAGTTATTTTTAATTCATAATAAACTCATTATTCAATTTTTGTATATTTACAATTTACAATCTTTACATACAATTTTTGTATCTTTAATATTAGGGTCTTGACGATGACTTCATATTATATCGATCGTTTATTGTATGTTTGTAGTATTTCATAATTTATATATCGCTTGCAGCGTTCAACTATAGTTCAGTTTAAAGTCTGTCTCTTAATTCATTGAGATAGTTTCTTGGTGCATTAAAAACCGATCTAAAGCTCAAAAAAATATTCAAAATTTTTTCGTTTTTATTCTGATTCAATAAGTTTTTGTTCGAAACTCTTACTGATCTCATATCCAAAAAAGCTCTAGTTTCCGTGATGAAACGCGTAGTGTCTAAAAGACCTTTGGTTACGTATGTGTTAGCTAAACTTAAAAACTTCTTTTTTTAAATTCAAAAAATATTGCTGTAAAAACTGAAATTAAATTAAAGAAAAAATAGGGAAAAAATAAGTACTAAAATGTTTTAGAGAATTATTAAGTTTAAAAATTAAACTTACACAATCTAGAATATTATCAAAGACAATAGCGATAGATAGAATTTTATATTTCTCGTGACAAATATGCAAAGACTCATATAAATAATTTGCTTGTCTAAAATATAGGCTAATTAGAAAATATATTATCTCTAATATACACATCCTACAATAATGGAAAAAACACGCTGGCTTCTTCAAATTTTTTTTAAATTTCTCGCGAAATACTTAAGGGTTCATTTTGTTACTTTAGAAATGTTTACTTCATGCAATTTTTCATACTTAGCAATAAGATTTAAAGCTTTTAGAGGTTTGGAAGACCTACAATAAATTACGAAAGAAGACAAGTATTTTCGAACACCCTAAGAAAGAAAATCAGGCAAAAAAACTTGTAACTTGGATCGATTTCTTTAGTTGTTATTTTTTATAACTGCATAAATTTTCATGAACCTAGAGTAAATATTTATAGAGATATGGACATTTTTATAAAAAATTAATTGTTTCGCCTTCCGTTGTTTTTGTATAGCTTCATAAATACAGAATGGAATTAATCAAAATTTGTAGAGAAATTGAAGATTAATTACAATTTAAGAATATAAAATTAATTATTTAAGAATGCAAAATTAATAGAAATGTAAGATTAATTAAGATTGAATACAAAATTAATTACAAAAGAATTCGTTAGAAACTGCGCAAGATATGAGTATTTAAGCTAGTTCCTTTATACTGCGCAAAAAATAACAAGCAATTCCCAACATTAGATGCTTTCACAATATTTCCTCGGCCGCAAACTAAATATTTAGTTAGCTTTTGCAAGAATTTTGTTTTCGTAGATTGATGTATTTCATCGAAATCGCAAGAAATTGTGGTTGCGACGAATTGTCGCTACGCGAGTTGTGCCAGCGACGAGTTGAGCCTGAGACGAGTTGTAATAGCACGAATTTGTCAAAACTTAGTAATCTTCCAAATGCAACAAAAGGTGATTCAATCGCCATTTGTGAGAAAAATGGACCTAAACCGTTATCACCCTTGATCTTCAAATATGTTAAGAAAAAGGCTGATTTTTGGTTAAAAATTCATAATTTAATTAAATTAAACTTAAATGCTTACATTGCTATTATTTAGGATTGCTAGTTTTTCTAATGCATCATAAAGAAAAAAAATTCCCATAATTTAAAAAAAATAATAATAATCATGCGTTTTAATTTAGAAATTCATTTTATTCCTTGTTTTAAAAAATCAATGAATTCAATCGAATGGAAAAATCCGTTTTTTATAGTTGAAACAACTCTTGGTTTTAAATATTCTTCCAATTTTATATTTCAACATTTTCAAAAATGCATTGTTTGACGAAAAAGAATTCTTTTTGCCCCATTTTTATGCTTAAATTAGGTTCAAAAATGTTCCAATATAGATAGTGAATATCCATTTTCCAAATGTGAATTAAGTGTTCATAGAAATGTCAGATAACAATGAAAATATAAAATATAGAGTATTTATTTCCCTTTGTTAATATCATTTTCTAAAAAAAAAAAAAGAAAAAGATTTCGTTCAAATTTATCGTTTGGTCTTATTTCGCTTTTTAAAACAAAAGAAATTATGGTTTGTTCCATTCGCTTTTTTCTTAGATTCAAATTATTTATTCATATTTTTGAAATTACATTCCTCTTTGAACTGTTATTCTGTAATTTTTAGTTTTCACGATTTAATGCAATTCATCTGCTTTTTTCCTACTTGATTACGTCCTTGAACATTTCTTCGTGATCAATGATGGCAGATGTCTCTACGCATGCGCAGTATTTTTCTTTACCCGGTTAATCTGAAAACATTTTTCCTTCCTTTTATTCTAAGCATATTTGATAGGAGTTTAAAATTTAATGTTACGTAAATTATCAGATCAGAAAAGTTTTCGTGAAGAACACATTAAAATATTCCTCTAATGAAGGTAAGGGAATTTTTTTTTTTTTTGCTTCGACTTCAGATTTATAATTTGTAAAACGTTGCTATTTTTGTTGTTGTTAAAATGCAAATCATTTTAACTTTTTAGGCTATTGCATTAATTTCACAAGAAAACTAGTTAAGGTTATTAAAATGTTTTTCGAATGTAAATTTTAAATATTTAAAAAAAATTGTAAAATTTTTACTTTGACAAACCATAAAATCCCTAAGTATATGGTGATGGTCAGCTGTGTCGCTGTGTGCATAAGAGTTTATTTTTATCTGCCAGGTGGTTAAATAAGCTGCTTTTCAAAGAGAAAGTATGTTTGATGAAGAGCTTCTCAAAATTAACATATTTTCAACAATTGACATCTTTAAATTCAATAAAATGCCACTTATAATCTTATCTTACTAAATACTTTCACTACTAAATATTTTTATTACTTAATACTTTTACTACTTTGGAGCATCGTTTATACGACGATCACTTATACGACGTTTACATTTATACGACGTTTTAGTGTGGTCCCAAATCATTCCTATTCATTTTAATGTAAAAATATATCGTTTATACGACGCACAGAATCGGTTATACGTCGGTTTTTAGATTTTGTTCACGTTTATTTAATTTTTTATTTTTTCTTGTGTATTTTAAAAAAGGGCGGAATTTGCCCATATGAATGATACAGAAAAGGGTGCCAACAAGAATGCTTGGATGACGACCGTAATTTTTACTAGGTGACTGAAAAATTAGACAATGTTATGAAGAGGCAAAAACGAAAAATTTTGCTATTCATCGACCAATGTCCAGCGCACCCATCGATACTAATTATTTTGGAAAATGTAAAAGCTCGCTCTTTTCCCGCAAATTGCACAAGTGCGCTTCAGCCATTAGATTTGGCCGTGATTAGAAATCTGAAATTGCATGATAGAAAGCAGTAACTTCAACTCGCTATTCAAAGCATTGAGAGACTAATAGCAAGAAAATATAATTAAAGGTAACATACATTCAAATTGTTCACTGCAATTTTTCTTCTTTTGTTATTTGTTTGTTTTGCTTTGTCTAATTTAGAAATTTATGTAAATCAACACGTTAAACATTAAAATTAACTGAAAACAGAGTTAGTTTCAGTTTTAGAAGTAAAAATCGATTATACGACGTTATCGTTTATACGACGTTTTTCGGTGGTCCCTTCTGCGTCGTATTCGGCGTCGATGCTCAAACAGAGCTGGAGACAAGGATTAAGAAAGAAAAACAATTGCTAGCGGCTTTGATATTTCGAATCAGAAATTTAGAAGAAAAAAAATTTTAATTTCTTTTTTAGAAAAAACTTAGGTTATAAACGCGAACTAAAATATTTATAATCTTTCTCAATTACAGAAAACTAGATTTTTATTTCCAATTCTTATTTTTTCGCTACTAGCAAAATCTTCCTCATCTTGGATCATCAACTTAAAGCATAATGTACTTTCAAACCTTTCAACCCTATTTTTTGGTGCTTGTGATTAAAAAATTGAAAAGAATGGCAGATCAAATATTTGTTGATGGTCATAAATTTCATAACTTTCATTTCATAACAGTCAATTTTATATAATCAGGGAATTATGCACCCATCTAGCTTATTCGCTCAACAAACCTCACGATTGTTCGACAGTAATTTTGTTTCTTAACGATAAGCAGACTGTTCTTCTCTTTCTTCCTCGGCACTACAGCCTGTCACATGTCAAGGCGATCTCCATGTGCTCCTTCCATCTGACTCTGTTTGGAGCAATAAATTGCCATCGGTTTACCTATAGATCTAAACAGACTGTTACTCCAAATTTTTTTTCAATATATTAACGCTACTGTAATTTCAAAGATTTACTTTCCTAATCTAATTGGATTAAATTAAAACTTAATATTTCTCTCGGTTACAATTGCAATTTCCTCCAAAAACTTATACTGAAACTCATTTTATTTTTTGGTTATTATTAAAAATCTGGTTAAATATTTTTCGATAAGAAGATTCTTTAGGGGCTGTCCATTGATGATGTCATGCTTGGAAAAAGATATTCCATGAAATTGTGACAGTTTGTGACAGAGTGGAAAAAGGGGTAACAAGCAGTGTGATAAACTCCCATTTAGGTTAGAATAAAAATATTAAAAATTAACAAATTAAAAAGTTAGGTTATTTTTTTTCTCAGATTTTTTTAAAAGTTTAATTTTATTATCAAATTTGTATACATTTGATTATTACTATTGCTATGCTCACTAATGTCATTGAAAAACTTAATTTAAATTTGAAATTAAAATTTGAATTATGATCAGTATCCTGTGCTTCGTTTCTGAACTGCCTACGTGGCATGTGACAAGGGAGTATGATGAAGTATGTATAGTTGCCAACTCTTCCAGTTTTCCCGGAAGATTTTTTTTTATATTTAATGTGATGGCAAAATTGATAGAATCATATTTTATTCTTCATTAAATAAATAAGATTTAATATGACTTTAGCATTATATTTGAATTATTTAAACATGTATATAATAGATTTGATAGCTCTCTGATTGTGTTTTTAATTATTAACTAAATTTTTACAAAACACTAGCATGCGATCTCAATTTCATTGGCTTTACCCTACCACTAGGAAAACACTTTTTTGGACGAAGTATGAGTTGGCAGGTATGAGCATGACACTATGTGACACACTTAATTATCGCATTATTAATTTTACTACCGATCATAGCTAAATATAACTAGGTGTTCTTTGATTATTAATTATTATAACGTGTGATTTTTCTCTCCGATAAAAATGCTCGAATCACTAAGTCAACAATTGTTTTTTTCTGATAAATGTTTTGGCTTCAAAAAGGAGGGGCCCTGTTGCAAAAGTGTATAGAGATCCAGTTATCTTGTGTTAGGCACAGCTGAAAATAAAATAAATAAATGTTAGCAAAATATTTTAACTACCAAATATTTGTAAAAAATATATTTAAACTATTTTTTCCATACACTTATCTCTGTGTATCTATTAAAAAATATAAATTTTTGGACAATTTAACTTTTGGGATTTTATTTTTACTATTATTATTATTTGGGTGACATGTAACCATCTATTTTTGATGACATACTTATCAAATCCTATTTTGATTGAAAAAGGAAGCTTGAAATACACTAATATTTTTTATTTTCAAAAATGTTTTAATAACTAAATTGTGTATTTCAAAGCGTTTAATTTACTATGTAAATAAATGCGTATTCAGTTACTGCATATTCATTTTTAAAATATTAAAAACATACCCAACCATAACGATTTTTTGCATCATTTAACAAGAGTAATTTCGATTAATTAGTTAAAAACACTCGAAATTCGATCTCACTTGATAATATTCCACTAAATATAACATGATAGCTAACTTCGAAAGAAATAAGCTTGCTCCGTAATTATTCAGCTGATTTACGATCCATGGCTTCGAATTTCTCGTGCTTAATTCAGTTCAACGAAGTAAGCATCAAAAATAGTTAAACGATAATGGGGAGGTGGAAAAAAAAGCAAATTAAGTAAGTTTCACTCGCGCTTTTCTGTTTGTAGAGTTTCCTCACGAACATTTTAAACGCATGATGGTGGATAATTATTTAATAAGAATTGAATAACAATAAAGTTTTTATCAAAAGTAAACCAATTGTCACGAAAGAAAAATTTAATTTAGGCTCTTTTTTAAAAACATTTTAGTATAGAATATTGGGGGAATATAGTCAGTTTCGGTCAAAAGTCGTCCACTAAGCGATTTTATCCTAATACTCATAGAATGAATAAAATTCTAAGAACATTTATCAAAGAATTCAAAGTCAACGAATTTTTGTCGGATACCTTTTCATCACTAGAGTAATTTTCTTTAATTTTCTTCATCGAAATCAGAATTTTATTCATTTTGATGATTTGTCAGAGAAGAGTCTACAAAACACCGCACTGCTTCCTTATGATGAAACACGGTTATAGAGCTAAACAATAAAAGTTGCACACTTATAAAATGAAATAAAAATCAAACTCAAATAAATAATAAAAAACAGGAAAGAAAAGGAGCCCTAAAAAAATAAAAGATTCCAAAATATATTTGCTCAGTGAGGCACCTGACTCTGTTGCCATAAGTGGCGAACATTTTCTATTGGCTTTACTAAAGCGGCAGATAAATAATAAGTTAATATAAACAAATATAAAGCTGTAAAGATCCCTTGACTCAGTAGCAACCATCCTTGTTTTCCGATTGGAAAACACTGCGGTATTTAAGAAAATTTCTGACAAAGCATCCACCACTATGGAGAAATTTTATCAAATTTTTCTTAGGCACTAGGAAACTGAAAAAAAAAATATAATAAACTTAATTTTTTGATTTTCCCCTTCTACATCAGACTTTTCCCCACGGTTGCTAAGCGACAGCTTGTCTAAGAAATTCCCCCTAAACACGAGTGTTCCACTTTACTGTAAAACACGGTTATCGAGTTGAACATCTTTGCACATCTGATAACTTGCGTCAGATGTTCTCGATCAATGATTAAATATAATAAAAATAAAATACACGCTTTAATCAAATTAAAAATTGAAAAGCTACATTATAATTTTTATTTATTTATTTATTATTATTTTATTTATTTATTTTTTTGAGGAATTAAACGAAAACTTTAAAATTACATGAGATAATTTTTGTGCTATCATCATGAGAATGTAAAGGTCAGAAAAAAAAAAGCAAATTAAGACTGTAACAAGCTGAGACAATAAGTTTTTCATTGATGTGTTGAATTAACCAAAATAAACTTATATTTCTTTCTGCTTAATTAATTATACGATCAACAATTATTCCGTGATTATGATAATTATAATTTCCTTATGGTGTAGGATAATCATAGCTGACTCTTCTTTCTAATCAGATGAACGTTAAAAATAAATTAGTTCAAAAAATTATCATTGAAAGAACTTCTAACTAATCAGAAGACTAATCAGAAGACTAATCAGAAAAAAATATTTAATTTAA